TTTAAAGAAAAACAATAATATGGTATATAGGAATACTGCATAATATCAAATTCCGTTTACAATGACGGTTTCTATCTGATTTATCGATTAAAAAGCATTCTAGCTGGATTGATGCTCAGCAGCACAGGATCAAAACGGAAATAATTTAGCGGAAATGGTCGCAACCGTCTTACTTGTTGTTCCTTGATTACTACGTTGCAAGATACACTTTCTCTCTCTCTCTCTCTCACACACACACACACACACACACACACACACACACACACACACACACACACACACACACACACACACACACCACACTCACTCACTCACACTCACTCACTCACTCCACTCACTCACTCACTCACTCACACTCACACACACGTACGTTCCTGTGTTGTATCTTAACGTACACACTCCTGATGTTGACTCTAGTGATGCGCAGTAGGGTACACGATTATGCATTCAACACGCATTGCAGATGTACTCGCGTGAAGTAACTGGTCATCATGCCACGTCTTGTTGCCAAGGTTGTATAATGTGTACTACCACGTGAGGCAATTCATGCTGAGCAAACGGTAAATAAAACAACGAGAGGAAGAAAAAGGAAACACACGAATATGTATTAGTATGCATGGTGTAGAGCAGTGTTGTTATGCCATGTTTGTGTGCTGTATTTGGAAAAGATTTCTTGCTTAGCCCGTACCAAGTGAGTGGTATCCTGATCGTGTACAATCAAGTAAAATACTTTCTCTCTCTCTCTCTCTCTCTCTCTCTCTCTCTCTCTCTCTCTCTCTCTCTCTCTCTCTCTCTCTCTCTCTCTCACACACACACACACACACACACACACACATACACACACACACACACACACACACACACACACACACACACACACACACACACACACACACACACACACACACACACACACACACACACTCTGTCGATTAATTCAACAATCTAAAGTTTACTGATATGGTTTATCAATATAATCATTAATCATCTTCATCATCTTCACCATCACTATCATCATCATCACCAGCAGCATTATCATTACCGTAATCACAACTGTCATTTTCAGCGTTAACAACGATAACCATAATCAATATCATAACTAAAGCATCATCATCATAACGATAATTATCATCATGATCATCACTTTTTTAACGATTTGTATTACTAATATTAGTATTACTATTAGTATTTTTCTTCACTTATTTACTTGTCCCTATTGTCAGTAGCTGATATCTGTAATATTGTATTCTTATCAACATCAACATCGCACTAAATAAATTTGTTTTCGCTTATTAAAACCAACAGGACTTCTAATATTTTCGAATCATGCAACACACAATAATAAATAAAATAAATAAATAAAAATAAATGTTTGGAATTGTGAACTCTGCTCCACCGAATAAAATCATCTAAATATTTTCTTTCCATTCTTTTTTTTTAATCTATTCCATCAAAACCTCCGATTTCACGAAATTGCAATAAATCTTACCAGACTGTGATTGTATTCCACCCAAGCCTCCGACATCATGCACTTGCAATAAATCTTAACAAAATGTCCTTTTGTTCCATCAAAACCTCCGATATTCCGCAATCGATTTTAATAAAACATACCAGAATGTACAATGGAAAAATGTGGTGCAATACAGTGAGTGCTGGCTTTGCAATTGCAAGGGGCCCTGCATCAAGCTCCCGTCTCTTCTCTCTCTTCCTCTCTTTTCACTCTCTTTCTCTCTCTTGTCTCGCTCTTTCTCGCTCTTTCTCTCTCTCGTCTCGCTTTCTCTCTGTTGTCTCGCTCTTTCTCTCTCTTGTCTCACTCTTTCTCGTCTCGCTCTTCTCACTCTTTCTCTCTCTTGTCTCGCTCTTTCTCTCTCTCGCTCTTTCTCTCTCTGTTTCGCTCTTTCTCTCTCTTGTCTCGCTCTTCTCTCTCTTTGTCTCTCTCTTGTCTCGCTCTTTCTCTCTCTTGTCTCGCTCTTTCTCTCTCTTGTCTCGCTCTTTCTCTCTCTTGTCTCGCTCTTTCTCTCTCTCTCGTCTCTTCTCTCTCTCTTGTCTCGCTCTTTCTTTTTCTTGTCTCTCTCTCTCTTTCTCTCTCTTGTCTCGCTCTTTCTTTTTCTTGTCTCTCTCTTTCTCTCTCTTGTCTCGCTCTTTCTCTTCCCAGTCGACACAGCTGAGACTGAAGTATTGACGTCACCTGCTGGGGTCAAGGTCAGGTCGGAGATGACCAATCCTCCTCATCGAGCATCTTCGTGGGCATTTTCATCTACGAAAATAAATTGACGAATGGCATAGCGAGAGAACACACGAATATGCATACAGAGATATTCGTGTTGTCGGGTTCTTGTGCCTCTCTCTCTGTCTCTCTCTCTCCTCTCTCTTTCTCCCCTTGTTTCTATCTTTCTATGTTACACTCTTTTTCTCCCTGTCTCTCTTTTTCTCCTTATTTCTCTCTCTCTACGTCTCTCTTTCCCTCCCCGTCTCTCTCTTTCTCTCCCCGTCTCTCTCT